TTTATATTATAATTCCTACCATCTGTCCATTTAACTTTGTTTACTGTTACTTAATTTTAGTCCCTTATATATTTTCTCCTTTATTTTAGCTTTATATAACTTACCCTAGTTTATTTATTCACAATTGTTAAAATAATCAAGGTGCTATTCTCAGGTGCTAAAGTAGAATAAGTTCACAATTTTGCCATTATATTCCAAGCTCATTTATTTGATTACCACTTTATTGTTCACCACAACTTATATTAGTCCCTTTTATATATAAATTTTATACTATAATTCTAACTTTAAAGAATTACCTTTATAGTACTACCTACTATCATATTCCCAAGCTCCATTATTTGATCATCACTTTATTTGTATTAGTCCCTTTTATATTGTCTCCATTATTTTAGCTTAAAAAAAAAAAAACTACCTTAGCTCATTATTTTACATTTGTTAAATAATTCAGGTGCTATTTTTTAGCTTAAGACTATTTACTTTGTTTTATACTTAATTTTAACTATAGATTCACTACAAATCTTATGATTACATCTTCGAAAAATTAATTCATAAACGAATCTACTCCTACCTCATCTCCCAAAACATTCTCAACCCCTGCCAATTTGGATTCAGGCCTAATAAAAATACTAATGATGCTATTATACACATGCTAGAACATATATACACTGCAATAGAGAAAAAAGAAGTCCCACTGGGGATCTTCATTGACTTACATAAAGCTTGTGATACAGTTGACCATGACTTGCTCCACGTAAAACTGTCACACTATGGTATAAGAGGGCACTCCCTCAACTACCTCAAGTCTTACCTCAGCAACAGAAGCCAATATGTGTACGCAAATGGGGCAAACTCTTCTGCGCAACCAATTACAGTTGGTGTCCCACAGGGAAGTGTCCTTGGCCCTCTTCTCTTTCTCCTATACATAAATGACCTACCAAATGCTTCGCAATTACTCAAACCCACACTTTTTGCAGATGACCACATACGTCTTCTCTCACCCGAGCCCAGTCACGCTAGCCAATACTGTAAATAACCGAATTACAGAAAATATCTACCTGGATTGAGGACTAACAAACTTACACTAAACATGACAAAACCTACTTCATTCAGTTTGGTAGCAGAGCTACAGATGTACCTCTTAACATAATGATAAACGGATCACCTATCACAAAGCTAACAGAGGGAAAATTCTTAGGAATCCACCTTGATAATAGACTCAAATTTCATACACATATACAACAAATTTCTAAGAAAATTTCCAAGACTGTAGGCATACTATCGAAGATACGGTACTATGCTCCACAGTCAGCCCTCCTGGCCCTATATCACTCTCTTATTTACCCCTATCTCACCTATGGAATTTGTGCATGGGGCTCAACAGCAATTAACCATCTCAGACCACTAATTACCCAACAAAAGGCTGCAGTTAGAATGATAACAAATTCTCACTACAGGCAGCACCTCCACCAATATTCAATACACTTAACCTACTCACCATACAAAACATCCATACTTATTACTGCACCTATTACATACATAGAACACTTAACTCTGATATTAACCCTCCCCTCAAACATCTCCTTGCCAACCTCAACAGAACACATGACCATAACACAAGGCACAGATCACTCTTTGATGTTCCTCGTGTCCATCTCACACTGCAAAAACTCAATGCACAAAAAAGGCCCTGAAATATGGAATTCATTACCTGTAAATATAAAAGAAACACTACCTGTTTATAAATTCAAGTCTCTTCTCAAAGATCACTTACTCACCCAAAACCAAATAAATACTGAATAACTGAACCATATAAATTGTATATCTTAAATGTTTCTCACAATTATATCACACAAATTTTAAAACCCAAAAAACCCAAAATCTAACTTTATTATTTTTTAAATTTAACTCCCCTAACAGAATACTCCATACGACTGAATGTACAACAATGCATGCAACCATATGATCTGTCTTTGTAATACTCACTTGTGCTTTATAGTAATCTGTTTACAATAATGTTTTATCACGATTTCATCATTGCTTAGTTAATTTTAAGCCAGCCCGTAATGCTATGCATAGTATAAGTGGCTTTGGCATGCTGCTCTTATCTGTATTTTTTTGTACCAAACTTATGCCTAGAACAGATTAACTCGGTGGCACTCGATGTATGCGCAAGGCTTATTCCTCTAAGAAAAAGGAGGAGTAGATGTAAAATAGAAAGAGACAGGCGCTCCCTTTACAGGCGACGGAAAAGAATAACAGAGCGGCTAAAAGAGGTCAATATATCTGGAAATGCGCAGGGAGACACTGTCAGAGAAATAGCAAGCACCCGAACTTAAGCAAAAGAATCCTTTGGGATCAGGAATCGCGGGAAGAACAAAAAGCTATAAATGAAATCGAAAGAAACCCAAAGTATTTCTTCTCCTATGCCAAATCAAAATCGAGAACAACGCCAGTATTGGGCCCCTACTTAAACAAAATGAGTCCTACACAGATGACAGAAAGGAAATGAGTGAGCTACTCAAGTCCCAATATGACTCATTTTTTTTAGCAAGCCGCTAACCAGACTGAGAGTCGAAGATCAAAATTAATTTTTTATGAGAGACCCACAAAATTTGATTAACACAAGCCTATCCGATGTTATCCTGACGCCAATTGACTTTCGAACAGGCGATAAATGACATGCCCATGCACTCTGCCCCAGGGCCAGACTCATGGAACTCTGTGTTCATCAAGAACTGCAAGAAGCCCCTATCACGAGCCTTTCCATCCTATGGAGAGGGAGCATTTGGGCACGGGGGTCGTCCCTCAGTTACTAAAAACAACAGACATACCCCACTCCACAAAGGGGCAGTAAAGCAACAGCAAAGAACTACAGGGCCAATAGCACTAAATCCCATATCATAAAAATCTTTTGAAAAGGGGCCTAAGAAGCAAGATCACCCCCCATCTAGAAACCCATCAGTTTTCACAACCCAGGGCAACATGGGTTTAGAAAAGGTCGCTCCTGTCTGTCTCAACTACGGATCACTACGACAAGGTCCTAAATGCACTTTGAAGACAAAAAGAATGCGATGTAATATATACAGACTTTTTCAAAAGCCTTCGACAAGTGTGACCATGGCGTAATAGCGCACAAAAATGCGCGCTAAAGGAATAACAGGGAAAAGGGCGGTCGATGGATACTATAATTTCCACACTAACAGAACACAGAGAGTAGTCCCTCAACAGAGTAAAGTCCGGACAGCTACGGTGAAAAGCTCTGTTCCCCAAGGCACAGTCTAGCTCCCATCTTGTTCCTCATCCTCATATCCGACATAGACAAGGATGTCAGCCACAGCACCGTGTCTTCCTTTGCAGATGACACCCGAATCTGCATGACAGTTTTCTTCCATTGCAGACACTGCAAGGCTCCAGGCGGACATCAACAAATCTTTCAGTGGGCTGCAGAAAACAATATGAAGTTCAACGATGAGAAATTTCAATTACTCGATATGGTAAACAAAGAGGAAATTAAATCTTCATTAGAAATACAAAAAAAAATTCTGGCCACAAAATAGAGCGAAACACCAACTCAAAGACCTGGGAGTGATTTGTCGAAGGATCTCACCTTCAAGGACCATAACATTGTATCAATCGCATCTGCTAGAAAAATGACAGGATGGATAATGAGAACCTTCAAAACTAGGGAGGCCAAGCCATGATGACACTCTTCAGGTCACTTGTCCTATCTAGGCGGGAAATATTGCTGCACCCTAACAGCACCTTTCAAGGCAGGTGAAATTGCCGACCTAGCAAATGTACAGAGAATTTTTCACGGCGCGCATAACGGAGATAAAACACCTCAATTACTGGGAGCGCTTGAGGTTTCTAAACCTGTATTCCCTGGAATGCAGGAGGGAGAGATACATGATTATATACACCTGGAAAATCCTAGAGGGACAGTACCGAACTTGCACACGAAAATCCTCACTAGAAAAGCAAAAGATTTGGCAGACGATTCCCACCATCCCCCAATGAAAAGCAGGGGTGTCACTAGCACGTTAAGAGACCATACAATAAGTGTCAGCCCGAGACTGTTCAACTGCCTCCCAGCACACATAAGGGGATTCCAACAGACCCCTGGCAGTCTTCAAGGCTGGCACTGGACAAGCACCTGAAGTCATTTCCTGATCAGCCGGGGCTGTGGCTCGTACGTTGGTTTGCATGCAGCCAGCAGCAACGCCTGGTTGATCAGGCGTGATCCACCAGGAGGCCTGGTCACAGACCGGGCCGCGGGGGCGTTGACCCCCGAAACTCTCTCCAGGTAAACTCCAGGTATGTATGCTCAAATTGTAAAATAAATAAATAAATAAATAAACTCTCTCTTATAAGTTGAAGGAACACTATATTTCCTCACTGTATGCCTACCTCTGGCAATATAAACACAAATGCAGTATAATGTGATCCTTTATTGACTACGTTTCGCCCACACAGTGGGCTTTTTCAAGTCACAAACAGAACTACCTGGGGTGGAAGGAACGCGAGTATTTATAGTCCGGCTGAGGTCAGGTGAAGAATGCTGCATCTGATGATGTACCGAGTGGGGTTGTAGAGTCTAAAAACTTGGGTAGCTTGGAAAGGAGATTGGATAAGTTTGTGAGCAGACCTTCTACAGTGTTCTTATGTGGGATAGCGATGAAGAAGTTTCTTGGCAAGTGGTCAGCTATGTTATAGAAGCCACTATTCTGGTCTGCTCACAAACTTATCCAATCTCCTTTCCAAGCTACCCAAGTTTTTAGACTCTACAACCCCACTCGGTACATCATCAGATGCAGCATTCTTCACCTGACCTCAGCCGGACTATAAATACTCGCGTTCCTTCCACCCCAGGTAGTTCTGTTTGTGACTTGAAAAAGCCCACTGTGTGGGCGAAACGTAGTCAATAAAGGATCACATTATACTGCATTTGTGTTTATATTGCCATTGTGTCGGTATTTTATACCATTTATTTCCATGCCTACCTCTAAAATTCTGGATGTATGTGATAATTTCTGGTCTCTCATCTTCACCTCCACTATTGTGTACGACATTACTGACAGACACGTCATGTGAGGTAGTTGCTCTCTCATCTTCACCTCCACTATTATGTGCGACATTACTGTCAGACACGTCATGTGAGGTAGTTGCTCTCTCATCTTCACCTCCACTATTATGTGCGACATTACTGTCAGACACGTCATGTGAGGTAGTTGCTCTCTCATCATCTTCATTAATGGGGACAGAAGTATCCACACCTCCCGCCGCACCTCCGCGTTGTGAGGTACCAACACTAGCAGATCTACCTGCCCTCTCATCTTCATTCCCCGTCACACCTCCAAGCTGTGCGTCATTACTCTCAGTTTGATTCACAACAGTACCAGGTGTATTTCCTGCAGAGGAAAAAAGTATATCCAATTCATAACCCAAAAAATATTTTTACATATTACGTATTAAGATTTCAATGAATAGAACAAAATCTTTCACTGTTCTCGGTTTTTACATATTACGAATTAAGATTTTAATGAATAGAACAAAAATCTTTCTCGAGTGACTAACACAATTTTACGATAAATATTTTTCACAACAATTTTACATATTACAACAAAAGTAAAAGGCAGTGATCACAATTTGGATACATATCTGTTTCTACAGCCTTCTTCCGTAATACATCTATGCGATCCCACTCATTCTGTAATTCTAACAACCTCTCGTCGCGATGTACACCACCTCTCTTGATTTCCAACGATCGGCACCTTCTTATCGACAATCGCGTATATTCTTTTCTTATCCTCTGTTAAGAATTTCACTTATTAACGCACTTTTCCAGTAAAAATTTCACTCGTATGCTCCAACAACAAAATTAATCCAAAACATTTCCGTTATATCATTCAATTATTCCACTTGTTAAATAATATCTGTTTCACCACATATCAAGATTTTCTAAGTACAATTTACCTTTCTCCATGATGTGTGGTTCACCGTTGGAAGATGAGGTCAGCCAGGCTTGACGGGTGGAAACACAATCCTCACTCTGAGAGACTCCTTGACCTTATATGGCTCACCCCCCCAAGTATTGTGTCATGATTTTTGTGCACCCCCCTCCGGCGATAATCTCCTTACTGAACACCTGTGTCAACACAGGTCAGACAGATGGACGCCATGAAATGGTGTTCACACCCAAGGTAGAAAATCACATAGTCATTACGTATCTCCTTACCGAACATCCGTGTCAATCGGTACCATAAAGTAACTAATTTTGGTGAGGTAGTCCCGCTCCGCAACAGGAGGTTACTCCTCATTAACTTAGCTGATATATATCTTGAAAACCCATTAACACTTACAATGTACAAGTCACCTCTCTATGGTAAACATAATCTCTCTCGAACTTGACAACATGCACATCTGCTGACGTTGATATATTTCGTTATCCATCAAGGATTATCATTGCCGGTTATTCGAATAGTGGCAAATCTTATTTCACATCAAAATTATTAAAGTTGTACCATGAGAAATTTCATAACATATAATATGCGGGGTGACATCACATCCCTTAGAACAAGATTCAGAGATATCTCATAAATTAACATTAAGTAAAGATATTATCGACCCGCAGAATGTCATTGTATCATCCGATGAAAATACAATAATTATTGTTGATGATCTATTTTTAAAAGCTGGTAACAGTGAAATTATTCTCGAATGTTTTACTAAAGGTAGACATCATAATATAAGCATTATTCTGATTACTCAAAATATATTTCACGGAGGACGATATAGTCGTACCATGGCTTTAAACGCCACGCATTTTGCTTTATTTAAAATGAGGGATCTTGGACAAGTAGAGATTCTGGGGCGACAAGTTTTCGGAAAAAATAAGGAGTTTGTAAATATATATAAATCCGCCATAAATCGATCACCCTTTGGTTGTTTATTCATAGACCTTGCATTAAATACACCAGAAGCATTAAATACACCAGAAGCATTAAATACACCAGAATCATTAAATACACCAGAAGCATTAAATACACCAGAAGCATTAAATACACCAGAAGCATTAAATACACCAGAAGCATTAAATACACCAGAAGCATTAAATACACCAGAAGCATTAAATACACCAGAAGCATTAAAAATCACCAGAAGCATTAAATACACCAGAAGCATTAAATACACCAGAAGCATTAAATACACCAGAAGCATTAAATACACCAGAAGCATTAAATACACCAGAAGCATTAAATACACCAGAAGCATTAAATACCCCAGAAGCATTAAATACACCAGAAGCATTAAATACACCAGAAGCATTAAATACACCAGAAGTATTAAATACACCAGAAGCATTAAATACACCAGAAGCATTAAATACACCAGAAGCATTAAATACACCAGAAGCATTAAATACACCAGAAGCTTTTAAATACACCAGAAGCATTAAATACACCAGAAGCATTAAATACACCAGAAGCATTAAATACACCAGAGCATTAAATACACCAGAAGCATTAAATACACCAGAAGCATTAAATACACCAGAAGCAATAAATACACCAGAAGCATTAAATATACCAGAAGCATTAAATATACCAGAAGCATTAAATACACCAGAAGCATTAAATACACCAGAAGCATTAAATACACCAGAAGCATTAAATACACCAGAAGCATTAAATACACCAGAAGCATTAAATACACCAGAAGAATTAAATACACCAGAAGCATTAAATACACCAGAAGCATTAAATGCACCAGAAGCATTAAATACACCAGAAGCATTAAATACACCAGAAGCATTAAATACACCAGAAGCATTAAATACACCAGAAGCATTAAATACACCAGAAGCATTAAATATACCAGAAGCTTTAAAAATTTTACCAGAAGCATTAAATACACCAGAAGCATTAAATACACCAGAAGCATTAAATACACCAGAAGCATTAAATACACCAGAAGCATTAAATACACCAGAAGCATTAAATACACCAGAAGCATTAAATACACCAGAAGCATTAAATACACCAGAAGCATTAAATACACCAGAAGCATTAAATACACCAGAAGCATTAAATACACCAGAAGCATTAAATACACCAGAAGAATTAAATATACCAGAAGCATTAAATACACCAGAAGCATTAAATACACCAGAAGCATTAAATACACCAGAAGCATTAAATATACCAGAAGTATTAAATATACCAGAAGCATTAAATACACCAGAAGCATTAAATACACCAGAAGCATTAAATACACCAGAAGCATTAAATACACCAAAAGCATTAAATACACCAGAAGCATTAAATATACCAGAAGCATTAAATACACCAGAAGCATTAAATACACCAGAAGCATTAAATACACCAGAAGCATTAAATACACCAGAAGCATTACAGTTGCGAACCAATGTGTTACGTCAGGATTCCTACGAAATTGTATACCAATGGAGCGAACAAAATTAATTGAAAAGGTTTATAGAGATCCTGGCTCTGTGGGATCATTCTCTGGTGTAAACAATTTATATGTAGCTGTAAAAAAGATTGATCCGTCCATAACCTTGAAAGAGATCAGAAATTTCTTAAATTCAGAAAGATCGTATACTTTATATGTTCTTAAACCTAAGAAGTTTCCTCGTAGGAAAATAATTGCAGCCAAACCCAGAGTGATATTAACCTGTGACTTGGGTGATATGTCTAAATTATCCAGATATAATGATGGTTATAAATATATTCTCGTATGTATCGATGTTTTTTCAAGATATTTACAAGCAGTACTCATGAAAAAGAAAGACGGACCGAGCACTTTACATGCATTACAAAACATATTGGAGAATGAAAAGGCGAAGAATATATCGAGATTATTTACAGATAAAGGGGGGGGGGAGTTTCTAAATAAACAGGTACATAATTATCTCCAGAGTAAGCATATAAAGTTATATCATGTATTTTCGAAAGAAACAAAAGCTTCCATTGCAGAGAGAGGCTTGCAAACATTGCAGAGAGAGGCTTGCAAACATTGCAGAGAGAGGCTTGCAAACATTGCAGAGAGAGGCTTGCAAACATTGCAGAGAGAGGCTTGCAAACATTGCAGAGAGAGGCTTGCAAACATTGCAGAGAGAAGCTTGCAAACATTGCAGAGAGAGGCTTGCAAACATTGCAGAGAGAGGCTTGCAAACATTGCAGGGAGAGGCTTGCAAACATTGCAGAGAAAGGCTTGCAAACATTGCAGAGAGAGGCTTGAAAACGTTGCAGAGAGAGGCTTGCAAACGTTGCAGAGAGAGGCTTGCAAACATTGCAGAGAGAGGCTTGCAAACATTGCAGAGAGAGGCTTGCAAACATTGCAGAGAGAGGCTTGCAACATTGCAGAGAGAGGCTTGCAAACATTGCAGAGAAGGCATGCAAACATTGCAGAGAGAGGCTTGCAAACATTGCAGAGAGGAGGCTTGCAACATTGCAGAGAGAGGCCTTGCAAACATTGCAGAGGAGAGGCTTGCAAACATTGCAGGGAGAGGCTTGCAAAACATTGCAGAGAAAGGTTGCAAACATTGCAGAGAGAGGCTTGAAAACGTTGCTAGATAGAGGCTTGCAACGTTGCAGAGAGAGGCTTGCAACATTGCAGAGAGAGGCTTGCAAACATTGCAGAGAGAGGCTTGCAAACATTGCAGAGAGAGGCTTGCAAACATTGCAGAGAGAGGCTTGCAAACATTGCAGAGAGAGGCTTGCAAACATTGCAGAGAGAGGCTGCAAACATTGCAGAGAGAGGCTTGCAACATTGCAGAGAGAGGCTTGCAAACATTGCAGAGAGAGGCTTGCAAACATTGCAGGGAGAGGCTTGCAAACATTGCAAGTAGAGGCTTGCAAACATTGCAGAGAGAGGCTTGCAAACTTGCAGAGAGAGGCTTGCAAATATTGCAGGGAGAGGCTTGCAAACATTGCAGAGAGAGGCTTGCAAACATTGCAGAGAAAGGCTTGCAAACATTGCAGAGAGAGGCTTGCAAACATTGCAGAGAAAGGCTTGCAAACATTGCAGAGAGAGGCTTGAAAACGTTGAAACGTAAATTATACAAGTATATGACAAGTGCAAATACATTTAATGATTCAAAAGTGTTAAATGGATTGGTAGATGCGTATAATTCAACTCCACACTCGGGGATTGGTGGTAAAACCCCATTGCAAGTCCATGGTATTACGACATTGAATGATATAAGGAATCAGTTTCGCATAAATTATAAAAATGGAAGATCCAATATGAAACGAATCAGTAAGAAATTGGCTGTTGGAGACACAACAAGAGTGACTCTGAGCAGATCATCCGCGTTTAACCGAGGGTTTCACACACAAAATACAGAGGAAATATTTAAAATATATAGAATTAATAATTCTCAACCTAT